CCCCCCCCAATCTCTTTTCTGTTCTGAAATTTGATTTGTCCTTTTCATGTGTGTTTTTTTTTTAATTGTATCCTTTGGTATATATGGTTGTGACAATTTTCTTACACCATTTGATCTGAGGAAGTGGGTCTGGCCCATGAAAGCTCATCACCTATTAAACCATCTTGTTAGTCTTTAAAGTGCTACACAGTCCTGTTTTTTGTTTCTGTTGAGAAATTCTGTTCTGAAATTTGATTTGTCCTTTTCATGTGTGTTTTTTTTTTAATTGTATCCTTTGGTATATATGGTTGTGACAATTTTCTTACACCATTTGATCTGAGGAAGTGGGTCTGGCCCATGAAAGCTCATCACCTATTAAACCATCTTGTTAGTCTTTAAAGTGCTACACAGTCCTGTTTTTTGTTTCTGTTGAGAAATAAGGTACCTTGCAAGACTGCTAGCATCTGCCATCTAGTGGAAGCATGCTCTGCAAGCATTGGAAGGCAGAGCAGAAGAAGGCTATTTCACTACTAAGTTTCAATCCCAGGCTTGAATGCTTGGTTTACAGTGGGAATTGAAATCAAACTTAGCCACATTAGGTCAATTTTATAAACAATGAGTCGACACCATCAAGATTTTCAGAGAGGTAGCCTAGTTAGTCTGTAACAGGAAAAAAAACCCTCTAAAACTGCCCCACAAGCGGTCTAGGAGCACCTTAAAGGCTAACAAAATATGTAGATGGTATAACCTTGTGGGTACAACCCACTTCTTTAGATGACAGCTGACCACCAAGACTGTTCTGTCAACCGTAAAAGGCCATTGAAGTCAATCTTGGTACTCCTGCTTTCCCCCACACTCAGTAACACTATATTTGCTCTTCTAAGGTTGACTTTATGATATTGAAGACTTGGGCTATGTCTACACTCGCGGCTTCTTGTGCAAGTATGGCCATTCTTGCGCAAGAATCTGCAGAGCATTTACACTGCCCACCCGCTCTTGCGCAAGGAAATTTACAGTACGGCGTGGTAAGAGGGCTTCTTGCGCACAAGCTACGCTCTTTAACAGGTGTAATTGTGTAGGAGCTCTTGCGCAAGAGGGCAGTGTGGACGCTCAGCAAGGATTTCTTGCACAAGAAAGCCTTATGGTTAAAATGGCCGTCGGAACTTTCTTGCGCAAGAGAGCATCCACACTGCCATGGGAGCTCTTGCACAAAAGCACAGCGCGCACATGGCAGTGTGGATGTTTTCTTACGCAAGACTTCTTGCACAAGAACCCTTGCACAAGATGTTCTTGCGCAAGAAGCCGTGAGTATAGACATAGCCCCCGTGTGTTCTTTGCGTCTGGGAGGTGTGTCTCAGCTGTGACTGCTCTGGCCAGGACTTTCAATTCTGGTGCTCTCTAGGTGCACGCGAAGAGCCCTGGATAAAATTGAATTTCATTTCCTGTGGGGCCAGCTTGGCAAGCAGACCTCAGAGCAGGCAACACACCTCAGCAGTACAGCTGACCATGAATGCCCAGGGTTGCAAATGAGAACGACCATAGCACCTGCAGAAAATCCTGGAGCTCATTGCTATGTGGGAGAGGAATCCAATCTTACAGAACTACATACCAGGGGGAAAAAAACCCCCCAGATATCTGTGCCAAGATCGCAAAGGGCATGAAGGAGAAAGGATACACAAGGGACACTGAGCAATGCCAGATGAAAATGAGCTCAGGCTGTCATATCAGAAGACAAAGGAGGCAAACAGCTGTCTGGATCATTGCCACAGTCATGCCACTTTTATAAGCAGCTGCATGTGATTCCAAGGGGAGACCCCAACCAGCATCCCAAGCCAGTCTCTGGATTCCTTGCAAAACACTCCACTGGCAGCATCGAGGAGGACAGCATAGATAAAAGATGAAATAAATGCAGTAGCAACCCCTGCTAACATGATAAATGAGAATTTCTCTTATTTTGCTAACTTTTTTATTGCCCTAAAATTCTGTATTAAGCCAAATTTATGTATCACCTCCCATGCACTGAACCATCCATAATTTTGGCATGGGCAGTAATTTCAGGAAACCTCCGGGCATGACAAGTGCAGTTATTTGGTTGTCATTTCATGGCATTAAGGGATTATAGTTAAAGGTCACCAGGGATCTTTCTTTAACTTTGTTGCAACAGGCCAATTTATCAAAATTGTTCACCACTTCCAATTAAGTTTTAGTGATAGAGGTTTCTCAGGTTCTTGTAAAGATGAGACCTCTTCATGCTAGCCGCCAAACAGCCCAAGATTCAGATGTGGAAGACCCAACTTCAAGCCCCTGCTTTGCCATTTGCTTACATCTTAGGTGAGTGCAGAGGTGAAAGTAAGCTGGTGCATGCAGGTGTGCCAACTGGGTAAGAAAGAGCTGACAGACTGGGGTGGTTGGCTGCAGAAGGTGGGGTGCACTACCAGTTGTATTCCCAGGGGCTCTCTTGGAGGCTACCATACTGAGCAGCAGACAGGTTAAAGGAGCTGGCTGGGGTTGTGCTGCTCTACTGGTCCAGGACTGTCCCAGCCTTATGCCCACCCCTTGGCACTATTTAGTGAGGGCAAACAACCCCTGCTGCCTGAGATTCATACTGGGACACTCATATCCTAGCACCCTCCACTCCCAAGCCAGAGGAATGCAGGCACACTGTGCTCTTTCCCCTCACTCCCTGACAGGAAGGGGAAAGCAAGCAGTGTCCAGGTACAAATTTCAGCCTTCCTCAGACACCCCAACCTTGATTCCTGTACCCCCCCATGCTCCCAGCCCTCTACCCTGACAACTGCCTCACACCCCCAACTCTTACTGTGCACCCCCCACAACATCCCTACTCAGGGTAGGGGGTCGGGTAAGGACTAGACGACTAGCAAATAAGCAAATGCTTATTGGATAGTTGACTGGTGGATTCTCCCACCCCACTCCACTGCCTTTATCAGTTAGAGGGGGTTACTTCAAAGCTTCAGTGCCACACAGCTGAGCCCGGGCACTGCTGCACGTGGAGTCCAAGGTCCCCAGCTGATCCCAGGCTCCAGCACGGCATTTCCGTGGAACCCAGGATCAGCTGGGGAGTCCCCAGCTGACCCCAGATTCTGGGGAAACATCACATGAAAACTGTGGTCAGCTGGGGAGTCCAACTGATCCCGGTTCCGATGAAATGCCGCTTGGAGCCCGGGATCAGCTGGGGAATCCCCCATAGACCCTGAGCTCCATGCTGTGCTGCTGCTTTGAAATGAACAAGAGTCCCTCTCACTGGATTCTTGTACATTTCAAAGCTGACACGCTGTGTGCAGCCCAGAGTCAGTGGGACTTCCGCCTGGCCCCATGCTGCACAGGAAGTTCTGCATTCCTTCTTTGAAATGTACAAGAGCCTCAGTAGGGGCTTTTGTACATTTCAGAGGAGGAATGCAGAAGTGCCTATTCACTAGTCGATGGAACTTCTATCAACTACTTGACTACTAAAATAACCGATATTTAACATCCTTAGCTTTGAGCCCCCACACCTTTCAGTCCCTGCCCTGATTAGGGATGTTAGCAAGTAGCTGCTCACATGATTAACCAATAACCTTGGACTTATCTGTTAATCTTAATGGTTACATGCACCTCCTCTTTGCTGCCTCTATCAGAGGCAGCATTGAGGGAGGGAGAGGAGATGAGAGTTGGCGTCCATGGGGGGCCAGCTTTTAAGATGGCTCCCCCTTCATGCTGGCTCCAGGATCTGCCTCCCCCCACCACCAGAGACAGCAATACAGGGTGAGGGGAGCAGGTGGAAGCGGTGCTCCGGGGGAACCGGCCTAAGTGTCAGCCATCCTCCCCCGCCCCATGCCTCTGGAAGAGAAGTGGAAGCACATGGAGCTGCTTCCTCCCACTGTGAAGATCCAGGCTCTACCCCCACAGTGAGAAACACCCTGCTCCGGGGGGGGCGGGGCACGGAAGGAGTGGGGAGGAGAGCAGAAGAGGAGGAAGGCCTCAAGCCCACCTGCAATACAGTTGCAGACCACTAGTAATCCACAGACCATATTTTGAGAATATGTTCTATAGTGTTCTAGAGTCAAGGATGGCAACTTATTTGCAGCTGAATGTCCTTAAGAATGGTAAGGAAAATGAGTTGCCAACTCTTTATTTTTCAATGCATTCATGGGAATAAGAATAAATAGTTCTCACACAGAGCTACTTTAGTTTGGAAGCATGATGGCTAATTCTGTATTCCAAATACAGATACATCTGTGTTGGAAATCAAAACAGATTATTCATGTACTATTCCTTGTACAAACCAAAGTGAAGAAAAGACAATTGCTTTAACAAGACTAGGATTTAATTTTAAATTTTTCATATTTTAAAACAAATATCGGGATAACATATGCCAGTGTTTGAACTTTTATTTCACAACATGCAAAGTCAATTAACACATAAAAAAGTACTCTATAAGTTGTAATTTTACATTTATACATCAGAAATGTCAATTTAAAAAAAGCTGAACATAATTAGTCTACAACATCTCACCTTTGATTTATACTGTTAGTGCACATATCTGTAAAATCACTATTGTGATGTTATATTTGCCCACAGTCTGTGATGACAATGCTTCTGCTCACCAACCCTTGGGGAGAACCAAAAGATTCAATTTTTTTTACAACATCCATGCCATCCGTCACAAACCCAAATACCACATGTTTGAAGTCCAGGTGTTCTGCTTTTTTAAGAGTGATAAAAAACTGAGAAGTATTGGTGTCTCGGCCACGATTTGCCATCGACAGTAATCCAGGACCAGTATGTTTCACTTCAAAGTTCTCATCTTCAAATACATCTCCATAAATGGACTGTCCACCTGTTCCATCCTGCCTAGTGATATCTCCTCCCTGAAAGTATTAATTTATAGAATTAACTCATTATAAGCCTATAATTATCTACAAAGTAGGAAACTTGTATGTTTTCCGGTAAGAAAAAATGAATTAGAAAAATGTTAAGAGCCCATATGTCTGGATATTGACAAAGACAGACAGAATGGTCTCATTCTAGCCTTAACATACAGATGATCATCATAAGCCAACAGAAAACTAAAAACGTAAGCACTCGTGGCAAGGTTTATTATGTGCTAATTTATGACCTGTGAAAGCTACAGAATCCTCTATGCTTGTGAATTACTGGTGTCCTGTTTTCTAGACAAATCTACTTGAATGTGACATGTCAGCACTTTACTAAATTGGGCAGATAATTTTTCTAGATGTCCCTGTGACAAACCCAAAAAACTTAACTCGTGAATTTGAAGTGAATTAACCGCACCAAATCCCTGTGTGGGCACTGCTATTTGAAATTCAAGTGGCCTTAAAGTAAATTAAAGCCAAATTAAGACCACTTAAAACCAAAAGAGAATGTTCATATTAGGGTTTAACAGGATTTCACTAATACACTTCAAATTCACAATTTTAATCATTTTGGGCTAACTTTCCTGGCTGGCTATGTAGACAAGCCCTTTATTTTAAGCCATGTGTTAACAAGCAAAGAGAAATTAAATATTAACCACTAAGGGCACTCTGCAACTAATATAAGTCACTAACGCCCTTCAGATTAGTCCACTATTTTTTCTAGTCCACAGCTATACTAGCCTGGGCCAGTTAATAAGGTAAACACCCAAATGGATTATTGCTAGCATTATGGAGCATACTGACTGAGATTACTACATACAGGAATAAAACCAAAGTGAAGTGAAGTCCAATAAAAACAATAATAACAACTGTAAATTGGCAAATGGGAGGTCCATATGCCAATACAATAGGATTGGATGATAATTGAATTCTAGTGTTACAGAAAGGTAGCCTCTTTACCTGACAGTTTAGGTTCTCAGTCTGAGTACTGAAATAACTGTACTAATATCAGCACCATATTGGCTGGACACTCAGATATAAACAGTTCTCAGGCTACTGTCATTATTTGGCATAGATTAAATCTACAGAAGTTAGTGCATCAAGTCTGCACAGATGAGAAAAAAGTGTGCAAGTCAGTTTGAGAAAAGGTATTCGGCCTACCGAATCTGTGTTACTTGTGATGCACACTGAGCCAGAAAGAACACAGCCTGATTTTCAGATGCAGGCTAAATTTTAAGACCCAACCTTTTGAAAAAAGAATTACTTGTAAATGAATACGTTTAAAATGGAAATCATTGAGGTACTGTAAGAGGAATTGTACAACTTTTTAAAATAAAAATCAATTTTCAAACAAGAAGTACACTTTTAAACTAATGAGTAAAATATTGTCCACTGAATCAAAATCTTCGTGTATGTCTAGATTACATGCCTCTGCCGACAGAGGCATGTAAAATAGGCTACCCCACATAGTCAATGAAGTGGGAATCTAAATATCCCTAGCTTCATTTAAATAAAAATGGCCACCACGCTGTGGTACGCAAGTCAAGACACAGCTCAGTCAACAAGGGAAGCCTTTGTCAACTATTCCCTTACGCCTCATTATTTAAAACCCCGCTTCAATGACTATGTCAGGTAGCCTATTTTACATGCCTCTGTCGGCAAAGGCATGTAATCTAGACATACCCCTTGGTAAAATCCTCGCTCCACATAACAAATGGTTTTAGCTCTAAGAAATGAAAACAGATTTTATTTTAAGAAAAATCTTCAGCTTGCACTTACCTGACAAACAAAGTCAGGAACTATTCTGTGAAATGTGGAATTCTTGAATCCAAATCCTTTCTCCCCTGTGCACAGGGCCCTGAAATTTTCAGCTGTTCGAGGAACAATATTTGAAAATAGTTCCATGGTTATGTGTCCTAAAGGTTCATCATCAGCAGAAACCTCAAAATACACTACAGGATTGGTTTTCTTTGACAGTTCTGCTGCCAGGGATACATGTGCCCTCTGAAGTTCTGACAAATGTTGTTGGCATTCTTCAAATCTCCTCTTGAAGGAATCAGCCATTTCTTGGCTTTTAAAGCGAACTGCAAGCTGTTCTACTTTTGCATCTCCATCTGCAATGTAATTCCCAGAACAGATTATTCACAGCCTACTCTGTCAGTTTAAGTTTTGTCATACAAATTAGGAAAAAAGTCAGGTGTTTAAGTAACCTACAGAAAACACTATCTTCTCAAACTCACCAGCATAATCTGTGGCTGTCCACACTAAAGCATTGTTCGAGGTATTCAAGGGCTTTAAATTCATTGTTTTTGTGATTACATGATTTGCACACACTTTGAGAACTTGGTCCCTTCTCATTAAAATTCTGTAATATTTCTTCTGTGTATGGAAGAGAATCTTCATCTCTCCAACTCCACGCTCCTTCCACTGATTGACTTCTCTGTCCCATCGATAGAGTTTTGCCCTTTCTTTGAAGAGAATTTCTTCATCCTCTTCTCCAGATTTAACCTCCACCTAGAAAGCAGCAAAGACAGCATATTAATGCATTTCCTAGACAGATACTGTCACCAGTAATCTACTCATACATTAGATATAATGGGTAAGAGCTTTCTAGTACACTGATTTTACTCTCCTACCCCTGCTTTTAAAAATTTCCTCAAACATACTTTCTATTTAAAATTTTGCATAAACTGTTCTGTAGCCAGAACAGATGTATTCCACACTTTGTGGTAAGATGAACAAGTTGTTTGAGATAACCTCACCTGCTCAAATATTTCATAATTAGAAAGTTAACTTTTTATAAAGTCATCTCAAATACTGCTTGGACTAGAAAATTTAAATTTGCACTAGAAGTCCTTGACATGTCCTGGGGCATATTTTCTAGCACAGGAGATTCCAAGCTCTCAGTGGACAGATGCTGCTCCCTGGCAGCAGCCTTTGCCCATGGCGAGGCTGGGCCTCCACGGACAGAGGTTGCTTTGTGGCAGCCTCCCCTGCATTGCTGCTTCTGACAGAGACAACAGCGGGGGGAGGTGGCAGGGCAAAGCCGGGGGGAGGAACGGACTTTTAAGATGGCTCCCCCCAGCACCAGCTCCTGCATGCCTCCCCACTTGCCTCTGCAGGAGGCAGCAAGGGGAGGCAGGAAGGTCTGCAGAGCCAGCACGCATAGGGAGCCTGCTTGAAAGCTACCTCCTCACATGTATCGGCTTCTGCCTGCCCATATCACCCTCTACGCTGCTGTCTGAGGCAACAAGGTGGGCGAGGAGAAGGAGGAGCAAGGAGAGTGTAGGCGGATTTGGTGCTCATGGAGAGCTGGCTTTTAAGACAGCTCCTCACAGGCACCGTCCCTCCACTCCCACCCCCACTCCCACTCCTCCCTTGCTGCCACTGAGAGGCAGCCGGGGGCGGGAGTGTAGTTGACAAGATTAACCGAGGCTTATTGGTAATCATGTAGTCATCTACACGAGGACATCCCTACTTAAAAGGGTTACTGGTAATATTGTGCACTTTCGCACACAGACTAAAGGTCCCTAGTAGCAGTGAAACTGTACAGGCTTCAAGATAAAATTAAAGTAATTACAGAAGCTTTAAAAAAATATGCCTAAGGCAGCTTCTTCATACAATGTTGCCAATTTAATAGCATTATCAGAGTCATGTTTTCCATCCCATTCTAAGCCAGGTAGATTCCCTAAAAATGACTAGCCCTGATAGTATCTATTTTTCCCTCTGGTTCAGGATCCACTTTGTCCATCTGGGGCCTCAGGAAAACAAAACAATATTTTTAGAAAAAGCAGATGTTTTCAGCCAACCTGAATGAAATGCAAAGCCTGCTAAAGAGGGGTTTAATTTAGACCTGTAAACTACTTCAGTTTTACTAATCAAATGTGTTAGTTTCACAGACATAGTTTAAAGAGATTCTGATAGAACAAGTATCACCAAAGACATCTTACCTCTGGTAAGGACACTATAGGTTCAAAGTGAATATCATCACTATGTACAACTTCTTCATCACTACCATCATCTTCATCTCCTTTACTGGCTGTCTGTACTCCAAATACAGTTGCTCCAGTATCTGCCCATTTGAAGTTTTTATCTAGTTATGAAGAGTTTAAAGTTTCAGACATATTTCCAATTACTCCTATACACACACACACACACACACACACACACACACACACACACACACACACACGTATTGTACAGTTTAATTTTCATAAACTATGCCATTTCTAGAGAAGACATTTAGTTTACAAGTGTTCTGTCATTCACATTTTAGTATCTTATGAACTAGCAGATTTAATGCACATAACATTTGATATCAAGTTGTATCAAAAGAAATTCGAATGTGAGTTTATTACCAAAAGCATTTGCATCTTACCTTTAGAACCAAAAGCAAAATCCCCAGAATTTGAAGCTAGATCTGCAAATGACAGGCCAGAAGTAGTGCCAAATCCAAATGCGATTGTTTTGCTTCCTATTCACAATGAAAGTAAAGTGAAAGGGAAACCTTGAGGGAAAGAAACTGGCAAGGATGACTTTCACCACAGCACTTTATAACTGTACCTAATACCAAGATGCAGAAAGTGGCTGATACAACTATGAATCTAGGGATTACAGCATACTATCTCCCCCTCCTTTCCACATGAAGGCCAATGTATTGGGATGCTCCAAAGTGACTAACAGCACCTTAAACATTTACCCCAGTAAAATATAAATATAGATAGATAGATTCTTTTGGGCCCCCTATAAGAACATTTAAGTGACAAATTACCTCTTTGCAAAACTGCAGAATCTTACTAATTTTGCCACACTCCCTATTTTGTACACAATGTACAGTTAATGGATATTTAATAGCAGCATACTGTAGTATGGTCTCATAATACTAGAATTACCTTTGATGCACATGGTCATTTTTCATTTATTCTTTTGATCAGTACAATGATTACATAGCTAAGCAGAATTAGTAGCATTCTAAATCAATCTTGGTTACCTATAGTCACAGTTATCTGTAGAAGTCAGTCCCAAAAAAACACTACCTTGGTTTGCGCAATCTGTTAAATTTGGATCATTTTCTTTTTTAGTTGACAAATCAACAGGTTTTTCATCAGTTCCTGACAAAGTCTGGGATGTGTGCAGGGATTCTGTAGTTGAATCTGGTTCTTCACATTTACTGGTTGATGGAACAGACAATTCAGTCTCATCAGTACGGACTACATCAGTTGAACTTGTAACTTCATTTTCCACAGACTCCTAAAAAGAAAATATCTGTGATTCCAATAAATGCTTTAAAAGAGCTAAAGAAATACCAGAATACCTAGAAATCATCTGCTTAAATACTTTCAAAAGCTGTCAGAACAGCAGCATTAGAAATTAAATGCCACTACCCCCCACAACTCCCAAAAGAACAGGAGCACTGCAGAAAGATGGGAGTATTGGAAAACTATTTAAAAGTTACCACACATTTTGAAAGGTAAAGCAACTTTAGCTCTTATCAATTTCAATGGGATTTGTGGGTAATCAATATGTTTTAAAAAAGCCAGGGCATAAATGCTCATGGAATTCGAAGGAAGAGGAGCACAGAACACAAGTTGCAACCCAACATCCCTGTCAGTTATAAAAAAATTTTCCTAGTGGAAAAGTTTTTGGGATTCAGAGCCCTTTCCTTTGGGTCTGTAACAAATACACCAATATAGCAGTATCAAAAATTAGTAGCCAAAGTGCCTGAGTAAGCAGGCTAATAGATTACAGACTTCAGAATATTTCAGAAGGAATTATTTTGTAAATATAATGAAGTTATCACTTAATACTACTGAAATGTTATTCTCCCATTATCTTAATATATTAAGATAATGTACACTATACTAATATTTTGATTAACTTGGAAAAGTATCCTTATGTTCACATTCTTCTTAAAAAACACTTTCAGAAAAAGTAATGCTCTAAATCTTACAAATCAACCAAATCTTCAGTTCTATAAAATGTCAACTACACTGAGCTCATAGGGAGTTTGAAGATTAGTAAATGGTAAAGAACTTTGAAAATATGAAGAGTTGGAGTGCTAAAGAAATTCCATTGTATTTAATTAATATTAATTAATTTATATATAGATATATTTTATTTTATTGTGCACAAATTTTTAAATTCTGAAATTTAAACTTTTTAAAAAATGGTCTCTGAACAGCTTCAAACATTTTGTCTGAGATTAGAGTTGTTTGCTTTTTTTTTTTTTTTTTAAAAGGAAAAAAATCTGAGGATTACCAACACATTGAGACTCAAACCGAAAAGGAAAATGTTTCATAAATGGTCCCAAAGTTTTAGATGTCTCTACAATAGATTCAATTGGCATCCGAGTGAGATTACTCCAATACAGAAGAAGCGATTTGACTCTTACTACTTGATGTACACCCGATATTTGATTTTAAAAAGCTAAGATTGCTTCAATAACTGTACAGGATATTCATGATGCTAGTTCAGAATTAAGAGTTAATGTAGCTAAAATGAATTTGAAAAGTCATGCTTTGAATTTTAGTTCATACTTTGGCTTCTTGAACTTTTTTAATTTCTGTCTGAAAGTCTTCCAAGTTGTCATTTTCCTCATCAGTATCACTGCCAACACCACAGAAAAATGTAGAAGGAAGCTTTAGAGTTTCTGCTTTAGCCTTCTCTTCAGGAGTTGGTTTCTTTTCCCAGACAATAACACACTCCCTCTCATTCTCTGGTTCATTTTCTTCCATGATTCCTAGAGATACAGCACATCAGAAATTACTGAAAAGTAGCAAACAGAGAAGAGTTCTGAAGCAAAATTTCTAGGATAGAGTATGAATAATTGGTCAATTCCTACTTCAAGTAGCCCAGAAAGGAGGTTTGGACAAAGTTTTAGCTTCTACACCAGTGTTTCTTTAACTTTTTAAGACTGAGGAACACCAAACAATTATTTTTAAAATGAGGAACAACCACGGATTTTTTCTGAGTCAAAAAAAGGGGGGTGGGGCGCGCCAAGGGGAAGTTTGAGGAAAAAGGTTCGCCTGCCCCTTTAAGGGCAGCCATTTTGAACTCTGTTCTCTGCAGCACACCTCTGAGTGCCTCTCAGAACACAGTTTAAGAAACACTGTTCTACACCAACTTTTACAAATTGAACATGTCAGATTTCACTTGCTTTATTTAACCAAAGTGACTTTATTTCCAATTGGAAATAATACTACAACAATTGTAGAGAAGATTTTAATTTAATTTGAATATAAAAGGCTGACAGTTCGCATTTATTTTGCTGACAGCTAATTTGAGTAGTTAGGCTCAGGAAGAACTTTCACAAAAGACTTGTTTGATATACCTTCTCTTCCTAATGCACAAATCCCATCTACCTCTAACCTCAAGAAAAACCCACCTACCTAGATGTTATAATGAATCTCTACATGATGAAAAATACACTTCCTCTAATGAAGGGCTCATTCTATTTGGAGAGCCCTGCTTTTCAGGTGGAAGAGGTAGGTGTACTAGAGATCTCTCTCTTCGTGCATCAGATTACTTTAGAGAGGTGCTTGGATACCACTATCCTCAAGGAGAAGCAACTTGGTACGAGGCCTACAGATCTGTCGGCTGGCAATACAGTGATTACTTTGGGTATCAACTTAGCTGGTATTCAGGAAAACTGTTATGAGGTACCTATCAAGAGAAGTGCTGTGCAACAGAAGGTAAAGTGCGGAGGGCATTAGGTGGCCTGGAAATGAAGTGGGGAGATTATGGGGCTAAGAGTATACAGAAGAAGGAGATGGGGATGCAGGAGTGAGGAGGTACAATGGAGGGGTTGGGGAAAGGATATGGTGGCACAAGAGGCTGGAGGAGTGGAGGGGTAAAATACAATACACCCCAAAATACTCCAACCGCCCCATGCCTCTTGGGGGGCTAAGGATAAAGAAGTGAGGGGATTTGGAGTCCTGGGGGCAAAATGAGAAGATTGGGGACACAAGGGCTTAGAGGTGCAGTGGGGAAAAATTTAGAGACCATTATGGATGGTATGACACGGGAGTCACCCACTCTGTGACAGATGTCAGGGGTGTGGAAGAGTTAAGAGAACATGAAACCAAAAAACACATCTTCCTGGATCCTGTTATGTGGTGCAAGTGGACTTGCCTCCCATTGAGGTTGCAGTGACTGCTGCAGCTCAGCAACTCACTGGACCAAATTTGTGAGAGCTGTTTAATGTCCTCATGTGGAGCAGAGGTGGGGCAAGAAGACATTAGGGCACAGGTGCAGCCCAAATACACGCTTTTGGCCACACAAAGAATGGAATCCTTGTGGATCATCACTGGAAGACTAAAGAGAATTTACTTAGCTCATCTTACTTACTTTCTAACCCTAAGGATGAAAATACTAGTGCTGAGATTGCAACGTTTAAAATTTATGCAGCAAAATTACTGAGATTTACAGGAAGCATCTTCTGCTGGTTTCTGTCAGTTAAGTATGGCCAAGACAACATGAAGGAAAAAAATTCTTCACTGGCATCATAGGATGCAGTTCTAATGCTGCTAGGGCTTCATGTTCATTTTCATTACATGCCAGACAAAAGCTGTTTCTATTAGAAACAGGAAGCCCATGTAATTCTAAATAGATTAACTTCTTTAATATTTCAGTCATTATGGAATTTTGAGTATGCCAGTGTATTTTCATCCTGCCATACATTCAGTTAAGTACAATATAATTTCTGAACAGGAGTTATTCCTGAATACAAATTTGCCAGAATATACATATATACATATCGGTTATATATCAAAGCGTGCATTAAAAGTTCAGCAGCAGGCCAATTAAAGAAGCTGCTATAATTGTGCCCAATTTTAGTTTGCTCTCCTAGACTTTGTACTTTTTATTATATTTGGAAGCAAAGTTTACATTGTATATAACAGGGGTGGCCAACCTGTGGCTCTGGAGCCACCTGTGGCTCTTGACGTCAATATGCGGCTCCTTGCTCAGGCACCAACTCCAGGGCTGCAGCTACAGGTGCCAACTTTCCAGTGCTCAACTCCTGGCTCAACATCCTCTTCCAAGCGTATTGCACCTTTGCTCATTCTCTCTCCCACAGAGCCTCCTGAGTGCCATGAAACAGCTGATTGTAATGGGCTGGAGGCTCGGGGAAGGAAGAGGAGGCGCTGATCGGTGGGGTTGCTGATGGGCAAAAGATGCTGGAGATGGGAGGAGGCGGCACCTGATGGGGACTGCTCACAAATTACTGTAGCTCTTTGGCAATGTACATTGGTAAACTGAGGCTCCTTCTCAGGCTTTGGCTGACCACAGCTGGTATATATCTATTACCCTCCATAAAGGTGCAACACTGATAGAATACAAGGTATAGCAGCTTTTAAGATAAGATTATTCTAAATATTTAGATATGAAAAAGCAGAGTTTGAAATTTTAAGTTAAAAGCATCAGTTTTAGGGTTATACTTCAAATCAAAAAGTGTAGCTGAAATTCCCTCCTCCCCCCCAAGTTTTTATTTACCTTGCATGGGACCTTCTGATGTTTTATGCTCTTTGGGATCATCAGGATATAACTTTCCATTAAGTTTCTTAACAGCCATTTCATAGTCTTCATCTTAAAGATACAGAATTTAAGAGCGAGTCAGTGATTTTACACCACATACCTTTGGAAAACATCAATTCCAACTACCCCATCCAGATTTGCAGGTCACTCATGTTAGTGACTATGTAGCTCATGATTCCTGCTAGCTTCTAATTTGAGAGAACACAGCCAAACAGGAAAACATTAACTTAAGTATTTCGTATGATGTGTATATTTGTTGATATACTTAAATATTGAAACACTCTCAATATAGACCATGCTGATTCTTAGGATTCATGATGTCCAAAATAATTTAATATCAAGTAGTTCCACAGCAGGATTAAGAACAAATTTACGCATGAACAGCTATTAATTAGCAACTGGATAAGGAAGCAAAGGAAATGGATATTTAAACATTTTAATTTATAAACATGCTACAAAGTCTTTAAGTATTTATTTTTCAGGGCAAACTTTTGCTACGTTAGACCAGAATACTCTAGAGCAGCCAGACAAACTGAAACACTGAACAGCCTAACATTAGGATTTTAAAAAATATTTATAAAATTCCACTATTTTAAGAGATTTTAGAGGACCCTCTTCTGTTTTCCACACCATTTTAAAAAAGTTCTAGGATACGTATATTCATAATTTCACGTTTTCCCAGAATTGCCTCCCAACTGTAATGAGGGTGTGTGACAGGGCGCTTGCCCTGCACTGGCCCTTTAATGGCAAACCCCAGCCCAGAGCAGAGCATGGGAGTTTAGCCCCAGTTGAGGCCGTGTTAGCTGATTAGGGCCCAGCTCTGAGCTATACAAGAGGATGGGCTGCTGCTCCGGGGTAAGAGCAGTGAGAGCCTGGCTACTGGGGGAGTAGGAGGCTTCCTGGAGCTAAGGCAGTGCTGGGGAGGCAAGGCAGGGCATGGGGATCTCTGGTCAAGCAAGCTCCCAGACTGCAGGGCCTGAAGCACGGCCCACTGAAGAAACAACCACCCCTGGAAGGGGGGCTCAGAGACTGATGAGGGCACTGCCGGAGGGCAGTGTCCTGAAGAGGACACCGTGGCCTGGAGGGAAGAGGGGAGACACCACCTGAGGGAAGGCACCAATTCCCAAGACAGACGACTGGTGGTGCTGTGCTGGTGAGTGAGCCCCCTCACAGGGTGGCAGAAAAAAAAAAAAAAAAAAAAGCAAAACACGTCATCTGTGGTTTCATTTCTAGTCTACCCTGTCTTGATGCTTCTGGCATAGGGATGTTAAATTGCGATTGATCATCTATTCGAGTAGTCAACAGAATTTCCATGGACTACTTGGTAAGACAATGGGGAAGGGCGTGCTCGCTACCTTCCCTGTGGCTCTGCAGTTTAAATGTACCAGGAGCCGGGTGTTCAGCAGCCTGACTCTTACTACAGTTAAACTGCAGAGCCGTAGGGTTAGCTCCAGGGGCTGGCACAAGCTCTTACTACATTTAAAAGGCAGAGCTGCAGCATCCCAGGACCGGCGTAAACCGGGACTGCTTAGTCCTAGCTTGTGATGGCCCCGGAATCTAATCCCACTGAGCCTCTGCCTTTTAAATATAGTAAGAGCTGCCTGGCTTTTAAAGCTGACTTTTAAAGGCAGAGCCACAGCAGTTGGGGACCCAGCACCAGTGGGGACTGATTCAGTCCCTGCTAGCACCAGGTCCCCCACTGCACTTCTGCCTTCCCTCCATCCCCCCTCCTCCATCCCACAGAGATGATGCTGGGGGGAACAGGTGTTTAAGCCAGCTCCCCCCAGCACCAGCTCCCCCAATTCCTAGAGAGGCAGCTGGGGGGGGGGGGGGGGGGAGAAGAAATGTGAGTAGTTGACTCAATTACCCAATAAGCTTAGGCTTATTAGGTAATAGACTACTCTTTTACATCCCTATTCTGGTGTTAGACCCTTGAGGTCCTGAACATACTATACTGAATCTGCTTTTTATGGTCCCAAGAGTTAGCATAATTGTTATAAGCCATATATGGCTGAGCTTTACTATAGTTATGGAAAAATCTCTTAGGGTATGTCTACACTACCCTCCTAGTTCGAACTAGGAGGGTAGTGTAGACATACCCTAAGAGATTTTTCCATAACTATAGTAAAGCTCAGCCATATATGGCTTATAACAATTATGCTAACTCTTGGGACCATAAAAAGCAGATTCAGTATAGTATGTTCAGGACCTCAAGGGTCTAACACCAGAATAGGGATGTAAAAGAGTAGTCTATTACCTAATAAGCCTAAGCTTATTGGGTAATTGAGTCAACTACTCACATTTCTTCTCCCCCCCCTCCCCCCCCCCGCCTCAGGACCTCAAGGGTCTAACACCAGAATAGGGATGTAAAAGAGTAGTCTATTACCTAATAAGCCTAAGCTTATTGGGTAATTGAGTCAACTACTCACATTTCTTCTCCCCCCCCTCCCCCCCCCCCCTCCCCCTCTTGGAGTTGGGGGGGGGGGG